TGTGACTGTCCTGGAGAATGAAAAGGTTACACACCTGTGTGTAACTAGATATGGTTCGTCATTCTGAAGTAGAACTGTTAGAAAATATAAAAACTGTCCTAGCAATTACCCTGTGGCACTGATGGGCTCTGCTCTGGCTGGTCGAGTACGCAACTGTTTTGCGTACGCATTTGATTTCAAAGGTCAATAATATGTTTGGCTGCCAGCTCTTCAAAGTTCCAAATCTGACCCTTGAGAACTAAGCTTACTGGCTAACTTAAGACTTGACTCACTTTTACACGATTTTTCAAAATGTGTAGAATGTCTTCATGTCTGGTCAGCTCAATGTTAACCTCACTTGAGGATTTTACATTTCAGCACGTTTGGGATTCCAAAGTTAATGTTATTGGAGTTGTACAATGTTAAGATAAATCAGGGTTAGGCTGTGATTTAAAGCACGCAAAACATAACTAATTTAAGGAAAAGGGCTTAAAAATACAGCTAAATTGTTTTACCCTTAAAGGTAATATTTATTAAAATGATAATTTAGGTATTTTTCTCACTGTAAACTGGTGGTCATATTTTTGCTTGCTTATATCACAGCATAAGTCTGAAAGATGTTTCATTTTCAAAAGGAACGGTCACTTTATAGTATGAACGTTTTTCATTTGTTTTCTTAAATGTTTTGATATGTGGGGCTGACAATCAGACCATTGAAACTTGACTGTTTTCTGGCAAGAATTATTTTTCATTTTTATGCCTTTAGGCATACAACCGAGGGGTGGTTTTTCTATGTATTATTTTAAATTGTTACATTTTATTTGAACAATGCAGATGCCCTGTAAATATGGTTGTTTTATAAGTAATAAACCCGTTATTAAATATCACAATGTGTAATGAGAATTATTGATGTAATCTATATTTTTTGGATTAGATTAAACATTCAGTTTATGTTCCTTAAATGAGAAAAATATAGTTTAACAAAATGTATACATTTTTGATTGGATAAAACAAATAATATTTAGTTAATTTTAACGAGAAAAAACTGTTTGATAAAATCTATATTTTTTTGTTTGGATTAAATATAGAATTTAAATTAATTGACTTCCTTCAACAAGACAAATATACTTTGTGCCAAGTCTTATATAATAGTTTCCATGGACATAAGAAATATTGTTTGAGGCAAGTTATTTATTTTTCATTGGCTCAAGCTATAGAGTATAGATGTGAACCATTACCCTAAATTTTTTTAATTGGTTGAACGAAATACTTTTACCAGTGCATACAGGACATCTCTTTATCCACATTAAGTGTTAGACATTAGAATTGACTATTCTTGTCTGTCACATACTCTTCTTGTCTGTCACATACTCTTTTGTCTGTCACATACTATTCTTGTCAGTCACATAAGTGGCGCAACTGATGCGGTATTGCGCTAAGGGGAAATTATTTTGACCGGACATTTTGACCGGAGAGATTTAGATTTGCCGGTCTTCAGCATATTTTACCGGTCATAGTCCGGTAATTACCAGCTAAAGGGAACTGTGGGGCCATACCTATATAAAACATGTCTGTGAAGTTTTTTTTTCAAAATACCAAACAGATCATGCATTTTAGCCATGCCTCATTTTGCTCTATTTTGCTCTCCTCCACCCCTGTCTTTGCATGCGCTGCAGCTGACCACCTCCTTTGCAGGGGGGCGAGACACGAGCGTCATGCTACCATGCTGTTACCATGCCACGGCAACCTCTCATTCCCCTGATAGGTGGAGAGTTGGCCATATAGGCGGAGCTCCTCGTTCCTGACGTCAGAGAATTTTCAAATCTGTATCAGTCTGTATCAGATCCGTTGCAGCCCCGTTTTTAGAGATTTGGGTATGGAGGAAAAGAGAGAGGGTTGTGTTTTCTGACACTTGGTGAGTTCCCTGGAACACCGGGGACACATATTCATGTATAAAAGACGTACAAAAGTGCATTTTGCATGATAGGTCCCCTTTAAGTGGGCCCTGAGTTGAAAAAGGTTGGGAACCGCTGATCTAGAGGAAAAACATCAAGCTTGTACCCAGCTAGCAGGGAACTTTCTCACAACTTTGGCTAACGTTACCTACAGGTTCTAATAATGTTTTAAAGAAAAACGTTTTCATCTGATGCTAACCTGCTAACATCTCAGTAAATGAGCTAGTAGATCATTTTAATTCAAAAATTAAAAATGTTATAGATACCATTGCTCCAACTAAGGTAAAGGAAGTGATTAGCAAGAAAATATCTCCATGGAGAAAGGCCATGACCGTGAGAACAGAAAAAAGAGAGTGTCGAAAAGCTGAACGTAGGTGGCGAAAAACAAATCTCCAGGTTCACTTTGAAATCTATAAAGAGAGACTTGGCCTTTATAATTTGGAATTGAAAAACGCACGACAGTCTTTCTTCTCTGACATCATTACCAAAAACAAAAACAACGCACGTGCCTTGTTTGCTACCGTCGACAGACTAACTAACCCCCCAATGTCAGTAGCCTCTGAATTTCTATCCACCAGGGCGTGCAATGATTTTGCCTCCTTCTTCACTGACAAAATTCAGAAAATTAGACAAGCAGTCAGTGCCTCTACATCAGGTACAGCAAATGTTTTGTCCCTATGTCCACCTAATATCAATTCAAACACCATGACACAATTCCATCAGATTAATGGTAAAAACTTAGAGGACATTATTCAACTTCTGAAATCCTCCTCCTGCTGCCTTGATATTATTCCAACAGGATTTTTCAAAGATGTTTTTCCTTGCATGGCCTCAGATCTACTTCATATAGTAAACACATCTCTTCACTCAGGTATTTTTCCAGAGGCCCTGAAAACTGCAGTCATTAAACCGCTCTTAAAAAAGAATAATCTAGATGCCTCAGTAATGAACAATTACAGGCCAATATCAAACCTGCCATTTCTAGGTAAAATCATTGAAAAAGTAGTATTTCAACAGTTGAGTAACTTCTTGCATTTAAATAACTGTTTGGATGTGTTCCAGTCAGGATTTCGTCCAAACCACAGCACTGAGACTGCTCTTGTAAAGGTCTTCAATGACATCCACTTAAACACAGACAGTGGCAGAACTTCAGTGTTAGTATTATTAGATCTCAGTGCTGCATTTGACACTGTTGACCACAACATATTACTAGACCGACTAGAAAACTGGGTGGGACTTTCGGCAACAGTTCTAAATTGGTTTGAGTCCTACTTAAAGGACAGAAAAAACTTTATTTCTATAGGTAAATACACATCTGAGTTGACAAATATGACATGTGGGGTACCTCAAGGCTCCATCTTGGGGCCTCTTCTCTTTAACATCTACATGCTACCACTGGCTCAGATAATGAAAAACAACAAAATAAGTTACCATAGCTATGCGGATGACACACAAATGTACGTAACAATTTCACCAGGAGATTATGCTCCAATTCAAACACTGAGTAAGTGCATTGAACAAATCAATGACTGGATGTGTCAGAACTTTCTCCAATGAAACAAAGATAAAACTGAGGTAATGGTTTTTGGAGCCAAGGCAGAACGTATAAAAGTTAGCGCTGAGCTTCAGTCTGCAATGTTCAAAACAACAGATAAAGCCAGAAATCTAGGTGTAGTCATGGACTCTGACCTGAGTTTCAACAGTCACATTAAAACAGTTACTAAATCAGCCTACTATCACCTAAAGAACATATCTAGGATTAAAGGACTAATGTCACAGCAGGATTTGGAAAAACTTGTCCATGCTTTTATCTTCAGTAGACTCGACTACTGCAATGGTGTCTTTACAGGCCTCACTAAAAAATCTATTAGAAAGCTGCAGCTAATTCAGAACGCCGCTGCTCGAGTCCTCACTAACACTAAGAAAGTGGATCACATCACTCCAGTTCTGAAGTCCTTACACTGGCTTCCTGTGTGTCAAAGAATAGATTTCAAAATATTGTTGCTGGTTTATAAAGCTTTGAATGGTTTAGGCCCAAAATACATGTCTGACCTACTGCTAAATTATGAACCATCCAGAACCCTCAGGTCTTCAGGGACTGGTCAGCTTTCTGTCCCCAGAGTCAGAACTAAACATGGTAAAGCAGCATTCAGTTATTATGCTCCGAATATCTGGAACAAACTCCCAGAAACCTGCAGGTCCGCTGCAACTCTTACTAGTTTTAAATCCAGGCTGAAGACTTTTCTTTTTGCCGCTGCTTTTAATTGAACTATTCACATCTTAAACTGCACTGTAACTTTTAACTTTTATTCATGTATTTTTTCTTTTAATGTTTATTTTATTATCTTTCCTTTTTAATGACTGATTTTAAATGCCATTTTTAAAATGTCTTCCATTTTTGTAAAGCACTTTGAATTACCTTGTGTTGAAAGGTGCTATATAAATAAACTTGCCTTGCCTTGCCTTGCCTTGATGTTCAAAGAACCTTTTGAGGATGTTTATTATTTCAAATAATGTTCCTATATGGTTTAAGGTTAACTAAGACATAACGTTTTAACTGCAACATACAGAGGATGTTTTGAGGATGTTATTAAGGCCTGAGATGACAGAATGTTTTTTATAAAACACGGCCAGATAGCTTATCTAACAGTTAGAACCTACATACGAGACACAACCTTTATAGTCAGAAAAAAAGTGTGATTATTTTCTGATATTTTACACATATGATATTATGAATACTGTGGGCCTACATACCTTAGTGTGATTATAAGTGCATGTGAGTGAATATTGGCATGCAAATTTGTTTTTATACGTCCTATTCATTGTCTCAATGCGCTCATACATCTTAAGAAAGTTATCACCGAATATTTTAAGAATGTTTTTAGAGAACGTTATCCTACCTTTCAGAAGAACATTCTGGGAACCAAAAGACAACTTCCCGCTGAAAACATTCTTAGAACAGTGAATGGTAACATTCTCAGAATGTTTTTAGAACCAAAAATGTCTAGCTGGGAGAGCATGCAAGAATAATCTGTCTATGAGTGTTTGTGTGAGGGAGAGCCGTACCTCTGGTTTTCAGCGTATCAGGATTTTTATTTCCTCCACATTGCTTTGTGTGCCGCCAAAACAGAGGCCTGCAGGGACACAGAGATGCTTAATTATTCATCTTCCCATTCAATCAAACTTCAAGATCAAGTGCATGTGCCAGTCGTCATTCACACTTCCTTGCGAAAATAGGTCTTAGAAATGTAATAAATATAATTATTTGTGAGAACAAAATGGGGAAAACTTCTTGTTCGCCCATAACATGGTGAAAACATGGAGACTGACAAACACACGTTTTACTGTTGGAAAGAATGACCCCAATACACTTCTCATCTCTTCTGACTGACAGACACATGTCTTTGTGTCTCTAATATTTCAAAAAGTACACATCAGGTTGCCGCCTGCTTGAATCAAAGCCTGCGTGATGGGCCCTTTTACTGCACTGCAGGTTTTTTGGGGCATCACAAGTAGACCTTAATTTTTTTTATTGCCATACAGTAAAGGACTTAAACAAATAATCTTCATATTTCATGCAATCATTGTTGTTATGCGCACATTATGTGCTTTACATGCAAGACAGACTGAAATGTGTCCGTGCTGCAAAACAAAGGCACAGAAATCTTCCTTTGAAAAGCAGCTGTCAAATGAATGTAGAACAGTTAAATGCACAACAGTCCATCTTTCCAGCGTAATTATAGGTAGACTTTCATATATCCACTAAGAAAAAAGTCTGGAGAAAAAGGTTTTTCTGCAGAATGAGTGCGGGTAAACCCTGCGGCTGCCAGCAGCTCTGTGACTGACAGCAGAATGTCACAATTGAGTCATTGTGTGGCGGGGGGGTGGCCGGGGTTAACTGCATGGCGCGCCTCCGAACTGCCCTTTATTTACAAAGGACACGCTGTCACCGCTGCCAAATATGTTGGAACCCATTAGCTGCTGATTTGACTTTAAAGCTCAGCCCCACTAATCTAATTGAATCTGTCTGTGCAGCTTCACTGACTGCTGGAGCTCAGAGTGCGTCTCACTGTGATGCAACGGTGTGTTGTGCAGCAGCAGACAGCAGCGCATGGTTTGTGTATGTGGGGACAGTAACATCATCATTTCCTGTTATTGGTTTGAATGAGGCCAACAGACACAATATGGTTTCGCTGATCAAATTGAACTGATTTTAAAATCACAAGATCAACACATCAACAACCTAATATACATTATTGTGTGTATAGCGAGGAGTATTCTTAAAGTCAATGGTTATTAAACTGTAACAGCAAATGTCATCTAGAAAAACGCAAACACAAACGCAAACACAATGCAGGCCAATGCAGACACAAAGGGCTTACTATTTTGGTTTTTCTGTATCTATAAAAAATATTGGAATAAACAAGACAAAAAAGAAGAAGAGGCAGAGGAAATGAGAAAGGAAATGAAGCAAGGTAACGAGGACAACAGCATAAGGAGAGATCGGCTCTCACACTCATACTTTCCAGATAAGTCTGAGCTGTTGTTATGTCACATTTCTGAATCTTACTCCTGTACACACACACAATTATTCAGCAGTTTGGAAAGTTAAAACAACTTTTACTTCAGTGTGATGATATCCAGTATTATTTAAACCAGGAACAGCACTGCTTTTTACTGGCAGGTTACAGCCTGTGTATTTTGGGATCTGTGCATAGAACAGTGAGGCTGCCTTAAAATACTGGAGCTGACCTCAGTGTGAGTGAAACCTGTGATTTAATTCTTCTTTAGCAGCACAAGATTGCCATTTGCATGTGGCGTGCTCCCTCTACTCGCTCTCTGTCGCCCCATGCAGCCATGGCGACGGGCTCCCAGCAGGCATTGCTGTGAGTTTGAGGAGCCCCTGGCCCTGGAGGGACGGCTGACTCTGTTTCCATCAGCAGCCCCCTCTAATAAAACATAGTGGCACTGAGGCTGCGGAGGAAGTGGTGACGGGGGACTCCACAGGCTGCTGAGCCACCAACACACAGGACAGGAAGTCAAACACTGCACATCCTGTCCAACACAGCCAGAGTTAACGCAGAAAAGTCAGGCTTTGTGCTTTTTTTAATTTCAATTTCTATAACCCTTCAGTGAGTCACTACCACTCAAAATCAATGCAGCAAACATATTGACTTTTTTAATCCACACATTCTTCTTCCTGTCAAAGACCCAAATGACCCATTACTTTACATTACAGTTAATTGAGTGATTATAGCAGCAGAGATGAGCAGCGGGCTGCAGCGGTCTGTCAGATCTCTTCTTTCTGACGCCTAACATTCACACAGTTCAGTCTTTTAACAAGGCTGATATAACTTGAGGAGATGTATCTGACTTCACACTGCTTCCTATGGAGACACTAAAGGCTTTAAACTATTTTTTTCCAATAATTTGAGGATTTAAGATCATTCTTTTACAACACAGAGTCGACAACAAAATGAAGCTGTAGATAAGTCCACTATTCTACACTAGAAAACACATGTCAACACAAAACGGGAGAAACTGCATAGTAGCGTGGTGAATTTTTCAAGGAGAAATACTATTCTTGAGTAAATGATTAAACTATATATTTACAAAGAAAAAAGACAACCTGATAAAACGTATGAACTTGGAATAAAAAATATGAAAGGGTTACGGGACCTCCTGATAGAAGATGAGTCCGACATATCTGCAGAATTTTGTCAGCGATGCACAATCCCTCACTACATTCCCACCTTTAAACAAAGCCATAGCATTGGGGGCCTCGGCAGAGCCAGGGGGGCCCCTGCTGGGATATGAACCCAAGGCTTAGGCAGGGGGCGCTCAGACACACCACGCCTTGTTCAGTTTAACACAATATTGCCCTTAGCCCGCAATTCTGGTTCATTTAAGGCCCCTCTCTGGGGTAAGTAGGGCACTTTGCCTTTTCAATATTTAGCATTTGCTGTATTTGCAAAGCTCACAGCTCCAGGCCGGAGCCGTTACATGTATTCAGTCCAACCCTGCAGACAGCGGGGGGGCGGGGAGTTCAGCAGGAGTAACACTATTCAGATGCCTGAAACATTGTCATGGAGTTCATGGTTAAGATATGACATGCTAAAACACTAATTTAACCACAATATTACAGCCCCATGAGCCCTGGCTGATTAGAGAGGTGAGGATAAAAATGTCCCCCCCCCCCCTCTGCTGCTCCATGCATCGGAGCATCTAAGGGACACCCTGAAGGAGAGGCTGATTCAATCTGCTATTACTGTTGATGGCTCTTTACACTGCATTATTTGTATTTATCATCATGTAGAAAGGTGTCATTGACACTGGGGGGACCACTTTTTGAATCAGACGGTTTTATCATCATCCTATTTAGCTTTCTTATTGTGCAAATGTAACTGTTGTTCGTTAATAACAACAGTTCTATTTCATTCCTACTGACCGCCAGAGGCAGTGCTTAACACTGGAAGTTATCCATCTCGCGCACGCGCAGGTCGAGTATTTAATATCAACAAAGTCATATGTGACCTGGGGTGGCATAGGGCAGCCCACCTATATCAGCCCACGACACCATCAGAAATGTCTCTATTATCTTCTCGCAGACGCGAACACAGGTTGAATACAGAGCTTGGGAAATAACATAGCCGGTGGCTCTTCGTTGGTAGCCCTGTAACCGTAGTGTTGGAGTCTCGGTTTCGTCCTCCAAGGGCTGCGATTGGTCACGAACGGCTGAACACATTAAGCTGACAGACCGGTGTTTTTCGCCAGGTATGTTCGGCAAATTGCAGATGCCGCTAGGCTAACGCTGTGTCTTCCCGGCTGAGGTAAATATCTCATTTAGTGGGAATGCTGTTAACAGCATTCGAACTATCTGTTCTTCTACGCACAAAATTCTTTATTATTATTCCGCCCGTTATTTTGCCGGTCTTCTTCTCCCGCATTGAACATCGCAGAAACTCCGTTCAAACATCAAAACGTTCAGCTCGGTCGGGAATCGATGGTTATTACTTTTCTCATTCATAACTTTCATAATTCCAGAGATACATCCCATAATTCATCACATTTTTAACCATTGAAGTCAATGGAGAAAATCTTCAGACTTGAACAAATCTTCATGCGACTTCAACTGCTAACTGTTCATTCATACTTTCACTCAGAAACCTCATTCCAACTTTAAAATGTTACACATCTTTCTGACATTATTCGTGTAATACAACTTTTAAATCTGATTCTTACTTTTAGAGATATTAAACATTGTTCAGACCTTGGTAAAGAGGCTTTCTTCAGATTTTAACATTAACTAGAGTGCGTGATGTCACAGCTAGAGTGTAGGAAATCTTGAAATTTGCCTTCATATTTTTGTTTTAAACTGCCATAATTCCCAAACCCTACATTCCTGAGACATAATTTTTCATGACAAGCGTAGGAAAACATCTCGTAGCTTGAAAAATGACAAATAATTAAGCAAAATGATTAAACAAAATGCTTCTTGAGGGCATGAAGTGACAAAAACTTTCAACATGTCTCCATTAAAGCCCATTGTAATTTCAGGCTGATATTTCCTCACAGCAGCAGCCGCACACCTTTAGTTACAGTAATCTGCCAAAAAGGCCACATTATTGACCCGAAAGTACACAAAAAGCACACTTCAGATACTCAAGGTCCTTGAGATGCTTCACGCTTTGAAATTTCACCGATATCTGTTACGGTTCTTCAACAAAACGTTCACATGTAACAGGTTTATCTCTCATTCAGAACAATGGAAACCTTTGATCTCTGGACACGTCGTTAGCTCAAATATAAACACCTGTGTCATGGAACACGATGATGTCATAACTCCAACTGACATGCTCAGAGCAGCAGACTTCAGATAATGGTTAATGGTCCTGCCCTCAACAGCTCTACGTCAATTATGGGGTGTCATCATATGCCGTTTCCATGGAAGATCAAGAGAAGAGAGAGAGGGCGATAGAAGAGTGAGAGGGCGATCAAGAGAAGAGAGAGAGGGTGATAGAAGAGTGAGAGGGTGATCAAGAGAAGAGAGAGAGGGCGATCAAGAGAAGAGAGAGAGGGCGATCAAGAGAAGAGAGAGGGCGATCAAGAGAAGATAGGGAGGGCGAGCAAGAGA